TGAGTTGTCTCGTGGGGCGGAGGGGTGAGAGGTTAGGGGGGCGGGGAGGCGCACGAGATCCAGCTTGGCCAACAACTTCCAACGACTGGCCAGTCCAGGTGACCCAGACTCTCCGGCCCAGACCAAGCTCTTTGTTCTGGGTTAGGCTGGTGGCGGGGTCCCCTGGCTGTGGTGGGCCCACATTGTCAGCTTGTTGCTTCTTTCCCAAAAGAGGATCTTGTTACAAAGAGAAGCTGGAAATTTCTTTGCACACAAGCAGAGACATGGCGGCCCTGCAAAGGCCCCAGGGTAAGGATTAAAGAAAAACAAAATAGAAACCCTTCCATCTCTAATTAGGGTCTTCATTTGCCAAAGTGCCATTCCCCAGCAGGAGGATTTACATTCAGGCCGTTGCTTGGAGTTACTTGGAAAACGTCTCCCAGCAGGTTGGTTCCTCGGTTCGGGCTCCTTTGAGCCAACAGTTTCTGGTTACTTGGAGGAGGGCTGCTTGCATATTGTTTTAACTGGCCTGGCTTCTGCAGCCAGCTTAGCTGTGTGAACAATCTCCCATTCAGAATTCAAAGATAAAAGCACAGTTTGGTTGAAAAATCTTCTTTTTTTTTTTAAACTTGGGAATTATAGGTTTTGGAGCTAGCATTATTTCTCTCACACACAAGGGTGTTTTTCCCCCCTCTGCCTGGTTCTATGCCAGCAAAGGCTGCATCCTGGAGCCCAGCCAGCCACCAGCCCCACTTCCTCGCCATTCACACCGTGGGGCTGGTGGCAGCTGGCCATGGAGGCGGACAGGAGCTCCCCATTTGCAAGAGGTTGGCCGCAGAATAGTGTAGTCAGCTTGCTGGCCCCCTGCGGCCAGCCTAGGGCACCTTCTGTGCAGTTCCTTATCATTCTTTGTATCTATAGCAGCGCATCTTCTAACATACTGAGTCCCTAAGAGCCTGGCCCAGGAAGCAAGATTTCTCTTCCTTTCTGGAATTCTTGGGACAACAGTAAATTATAAGCCAGACTTAATAGTAAGATATGTTTGTATAACCTTCTATATGTTAGATGAAGATGAATTAAGGTGCAAACACAAACCAGAGAAAACAGACACCCGAAAGAAAAAAATAGGGAAATTTACTTCATCAAGATTAAAAACTTTTGTTTTAATTTAATCAGAGTAAAAAGGGACCCATGGAATAAAGACAATATTTGTAAATCAGATAAGGCATTAATATATCAGATAAGGGATTAATATCCAGAATGTATAAAGGACTCCTACAACTCAACAACAAAAGAGCAAACAACTCAATTAAAAAATGGGCAAAATACTTGAATAGTCTTTCTCCAAAGCAGATATACAAATTCTTTTTTTTAAAAGACTTCTTTTTAAAAAAAGTTTTTATTGATTTTAAATAGAGAGGAAGGGAGAGGGATAGAGAGAAATATGGATGAGAGAGAATCATCAATCAGCTGCCTCCTGCACACCCTCTACTAGGGATCAAGGCCACACCCCGGACATGAGCCCTGACCAGGAATCAAACTGGGGACCTCTTGGTTCATGGGTCGAAACTCAACCACTGAGCCACACCATCCGGGCACCCACCCATTCTTGAAAGTTCAATTTCATCTCCTCTGTGAAGCCTTCCTGGCAAACACACTATTCATCTAGGAAGACTTTTAGGAGAAAGTGATGTCTAAGCAAAGACCCAAAGGAGCCTGTACCGATTCTCTCCCCATGATGCCCCTGCAGTGCCTCGAAGGGTGGTTGGAGCCTTGTGGACACTCCAAAGCTGCTTGCTGAACATCAAGGCACCAGGCAACCAAGGCAAAGGAATGTCTGGATAACTATAGTTCTAAGACATCAAGTAAATTTAACATCCTGTACATGTCCATACCTTAAATTACAAACCCTAGCCAATCCTATATAATAAAAGCCTAATATGCTAAGTGTCCGACCGTTCAACCAGTCGCTATGACGTGCACTGACCACCAGGGGGTAGACCCTCCGGCCAGTAGGTTAGCTTGCTGCTGGAGTCCGGCTGATCTGGACTAGGTGAGAGGGGCTGGACACGCCCTGGAGCCCTCCCGTGGCCTCTCCCTGGTGCACCAGTGGGGTCCCTCGTGGCTCTCCGACATCCCCCGAGGGGTCCTGGATTGCAAGAGGGCGTAGGCCAGGCCGAGGGACCTCTAGTAACTAAATAAACATTCTTGGTTAACAAGGAAGATAAACTGGCTACCTAGATGAGCACAGACATAGAACCTGGACAAACAACAGAACTGAATTGGAGAATCAACTGCAAGTGGTGAGAGACCCCCAACTTCCCTAATCCTTTTATCATAGTTGCCAACAAAGATAATCGTTGGTGTAACTGATGAAAAACCAATAACCTTCTTCTGAATTAAATTTAAGTCAAGAGCCATCACCAATGTGCTTTCCACAGGCACGGATCGGAAGGAGACCCAGGCTTCTCCATGCCCCTCCCCACAGGTTCTGACCCAGGAGCAGACAGACAGAAAACGATGCTCATTCCTTCAGCCTTGAAGAGCCATGTCCGAGTTAGATAAGCTTGATGCTGGGGAGCGAGAAAAATAAAACCCAAAAGGTTCAAGTGAATCAGAGCCCTATGCCCCTCTTTCCTAGTCTCTTCCACACAAGTGCCTGACCCTTAAGTAAGCCAACGTAAACCACGCCACATGGATTTCTGCGTGTTAAGTTAGATAAGAATCTCAGGAGAGTTAGGTCAGAACATGGAATGAGCAAAGCCATCACCTCCAGGGTGAGCATAAGCCGGTGACGGGCAAACTTGTCCTCAGAGGACTCCACACCCGGCCCGGTGCTCTCAAACATGTGGCCACAAGGTCCTAGCCAGACGCTCAATAGTCCAGGGTCTTCAAGTCCCACTAGTAAGAATACAATTTGGAGCCAGTACTCTGCCCGCCAAGTGGGACGGACACAGTGGTGGTAACATTTCTGAATAGAGAAGAATTGTACCATCCTCGTATGGCCTTCCTCATCGTCTGAGCAAAGCTTGATGCTGGGGAGCGAGAAAAATAAAACCCAAAAGGTTCAAGTGAATCAGAGCCCTATGCCCCTCTTTCCTAGTCTCTTCCACACAAGTGCCTGACCCTTAAGTAAGCCAACGTAAACCACGCCACATGGATTTCTGCGTGTTAAGTTAGATAAGAATCTCAGGAGAGTTAGGTCAGAACATGGAATGAGCAAAGCCATCACCTCCAGGGTGAGCATAAGCCGGTGACGGGCAAACTTGTCCTCAGAGGCCTCCACACCCGGCCCGGTGCTCTCAAACCTGTGGCCACAAGGTCCTAGCCAGACACTCAATAGTCCAGGGTCTTCAAGTCCCACTAGTAAGAATACAATTTGGAGCCAGTACTCTGCCCGCCAAGTGGGACACAGTGGTGGTAACATTTCTGAATAGAGAAGAATTGTGCCATCCTCGGATGGCCGTCCTCATCGTCTGAGCATACAAATGAGAGAGGTGCAATTTCAGATAGTTTTGTAGAAGGAAAGAAACAGAGTTTTTATACCAGCGGCAAATGGGCAGAAGAACAGGAGGAGATGGAATCAAAGTATTACAAAAGTAGAGACGGGTAGCAAATTTACTGAAGAAGTATCTAATATGCTCTCTATCGTTCTGTAACCCCCAGGCAGAAATGAACATCTTAAGCTCCAAGCAAAGGGGCTAGGCTTGGCATCTAAAATGTAAGCTCTTCAAAGGATATTCACCTTTTAATTCCAGCATCATCATGTAGCAGCCCTCCAAGGTCATTAAACCACTAATGTTTTCTCTCCGGTCAGATGGGAGGTTTCATTCCTCTGCGTTACTCAACAAGCAAAAACAAACTTCAGATCTGGTGGGCAACTGCTCAGGCCTTCGTGGCCCTGGAGAAGTGAGCAGATGCCAGCCACCCTCACTACCCCAGCTCCTGGGACAGGAACAGTGCCACCTGCCTCCATCCCATTCTCTACTGGCCCAGAGGACGGGTCTCGCTGAGAAAATCGCACGTGACCTCCGGATCCCCCTACCTTCCCCGGTCCCAGTATTCTTCTTCCTTTCCCTTTCCCACCCCAAATGATGCCGCCTCTTTATTCCTATAAGGGGCTGAGGTTTTGCTTGCTCTTTTCTTCAGTTTCAGAAAGGCTCCCAAACTCTCTCACCAACCTATAATCCCAACATCCATTTTCATCTGCAAGGGGGCGGGTGAGGCTCATTGGCCAAGTGCGCGCCTAGGTGTGCCTGCTCTGCCCATAGCCACAGGCTTTGCTGAAAGGTTATGTCTGTCTGTGAGGTTTCACAGCCTCACTCCGCAAAGGCCAGGTTTCCCTCCTGGCAAGCAAGGGTCAGAGGCCTGGCTCGGCGGAGCTGCTGACTGTGTGGCCGCCTGGGGCAGGCAGTGGCAGCGCTGGGAGAGGAAAGGTTCCCTTTGAAGCACATGGCGCGAAGAGCTTCCCAGTGACCATGGAAACAGGCGCAGTGGGTTCCCAGCCTGAGAACCAGGGACAGCAGCCGTGATTCAAACACAAAACACACACACAGGGTCTGAAAACCGGAGACAGGAGGGGCCGGGGTGAGGGGCAGGCGGCCCAGGCTGGCAGGAACTGAGCGGCTCCCTGGTAGGAAAATCCGGCCAATGAAGCTGAGCAGGTTCACAGGGTTCCCTTTTCATTCCCGGGGCTTTCTTCTCGCTCCCGTCACTGCCCCTCGGGTCCTATTCAGCACCTCATCAGATCAGTAGAGCCGGGCTTTTGGCTGGCCTGCTGGCGGCAGGGCCTGGAACCAGGCGGGAGGTGATCAAAGGAGCCGCCAGTGCAGCCGCCACCCTCCTCCCCTCCTCCCCGCCCGCCGCCTGCGCCCGCCTGCTCACCCTCCTCGGAGGAGGCCCTGCCAAGGTGATCCAGTGGAAGCCACTGGGGGAGGGCAAGGAAGAGTGGCACTTTTATGTCTGCCTTTCTGTCAGAAGAGACACAAAGCACAGCTTGAACGGAGACATGCCACTAGCAGGTCAGAACTCCCTCTTTCTGGGACGTCTCTGTTCTGAAACCAGGCAACGGGGAAGCCACCTAGTCTGGCCTGCTGGGGGTACGCTCGGCTGCCAAGAGCCTAAGCCCAAAAGGCTAACATCCCTGTCTTAAGCTCCTTCCAGGTTCTCGTTCACAGTTGCCCACCTCCAAACCCTCACACCCAGAAAGTTATCGGTGCTATTGCGCCCCATTTCTCCAAGGTCCAGATTGAAAGAGAAGAAAGCTATCTGGAATTTTTTTTTTCCAGCAAGGAAGAGGAAATGATGTGATTAGAGTCTGCTAAGGAGGAGAGATCGTCCACTTACTGATGAGTATCTTTTCTCTCCGTCGGACTGAACCAAAGTCCAACCAACAGTGTCCTGTTGGGCACAGGGCCAGGGCCAGTGAGAGCACCGAGCCCACCCCTCAGCCCGGCCTCACTGCCACCGTGGAGCAGGGCAGGCTCTGACCTTGACCAGCGTCTCTTGAAGAAGGCAGTGTTTGGACAGGCCTGTAATTCGAGAAGCCCATTAGGTGCGTTCTCCCTTTCTTACCTTTGTTGGGCTGCCAAAATATTTACTTGACTTCTTAACTCTAAATCTCTGAAACACACCTGCATTGCCTAAAACAGGCAATTTTCTTATTTTCTTGTATTCACAGAAGAGAGCCCAACCTCAGCAAAGATGACAATAGCACAGAGGGATAAGGAGGGTGGGGGCCTGGTAAGAGATGTGGCTTTATAGAATACAACCACTTCTTAAGAGATGGGTGTATACTGCATTCGTCTCTTTTTTTGGGGGGGGAGGGGGCGGGGGGAAGAAGGGGAAGTTCGCAGGGCAGTGAGGACAGTTGAAAGCAATTCCACAGGTAATCTTTTTGCAAAACAAACTGATTCTATCTTGACCTTTGGAAGAGTCCATTTCCATGCCAAGTAAAAATTCTGTGTGGTAGCCAACTGCATTTATTTATTTTAACACAATCATGATGTAAAAGCCACTGCCCTGTAATATCAGCAGAGTAAAGGCTATATCATAGGAAAAATGGGTGCTTAAACAACAAACAGTATTTGCAGGGTTTTAGGTGAACTTCAGATGATATAAATGACCAGAAACAACTGTAAAAAAATTTTTTCCCCTTTCTCGGTGCTTCTGACATCATGAAAGTTGGGAAAACAGTCTCGGGTCTAGTAAGCCTGAAGCCACTGCACAACCATGTCCCCTTGCCACGTGCACCTATCAGCTCCCGTTTCTGCCAGGAGCTTCCTAAAGCTCACACATGCCAAGCTGAGTGGCCCAAAGTCAGACTTCCCAGACAGGCTGTGGTTTGTGGGTAGAACTCAACGAAAGGTCCCTGCACTGCCTGTTGGTGCTGTTCTTAGGAGCACAGCATCCTGGTCAATGACCCTCACCCCCAAAGCCACCTAGACACCCTTCTGAGAAGAAGGGCCTGGCCATCAGTTGAGGGAATTCATTTTAGTTAGGTGCTCATCAGCAAACCTTTGCAGGAAAAATTATTTTGGCTCTTTCAGATCTTGGTTGTTGTAAATAATGCTACTATAAACACAGGGGTGCTTATATATTCTTTCTGATGGGTATTTCAGGATTCTTAGGGTATTATTCCCACAAGTGGGATGGCTGGGTCAAAAGGCAGTTCCATATTTAATTTTTTGAGGAAACCACATACTGTTTTCTACAGTGGCTGCACCAATCTACATTTCCACCAACAGTGCACTAGGGTTCCCTTATCTCCACAACCCCGCCAGCACTTGTTGTTTGTTGATTTACAGATGGTAGCCATTCTGGCAGGTGTGAGGTGATATCTCACTGTGGTTTTAATTTGCATCTCTCTAGTGATAACTGATGCTGAGCAATTTTTCATATGTCTATTGTCCATCTGAATATCCTCTTTTGAGAAGTGTCTACTCAGGTCCTTTGCCCATTTTTCAATTGAATTGTCTTCTTGGTGTTAAATTGTACAAGTTCTTTGTATACTTTGGAAATTAACCCCTTATCAGATGTATCCTTGGCAAATATGTTCCCCCATACAGTGGATTCCCTGTGCAAATGCCCATCAGTAGATGAGTGGATTAAAAAGCTGTGGTACAGCCCTAGCCGGTTTGGCTAAGTGGATAGAACGTCGGCCTACGGGACTAAATCCTGGGTTCTTCGATTCCAGTCAAGGGCACATGCCCGAGTTATAGGCTCGAGCCCCAGTGGGGGACGTGCAGGAGGCAGCCAATCAATGATTCTCTCTCAATATTGATGTTTCTATCTCTCCCTCTCCCTTTCTCCCTGAAATCAATAAATATATATATATTTAAAAAGCTGTGGTACATTTACACAATGGAATACCTATGCAGCTGTAAAAAAGAGGGATCTCTTACCCTTTGGGACAGCATGGATGGACCTGGAGATTATTATGCTAAGTGAAATAAGCCAGTCAGAGAAAGACAAATACCTTTCATATTAGTTTAAAAAACACATTAATGACAACAGTCAGTTAGCATTATTTTTGTGAAAAATGGTTCACTCTTACTTCACTGGTGGTAGGGTAAACTGAGGGAACTTTCCTATGAAGCAATTTATAACTGTTGACATCAAGAATCACAATAAAGTTCCTATCCTTCGATTTTTAATTTCCTAAAAATATTACCATAGGGAATAATTCAAAAAAGAAAAAAGAAACCCAGAAAGCCCATCCTACATAAAGAAAGGTTTCAGTTTGGCTTATTTGTTAATATTGAACCCTGGGGGCAGTAGTCAACTAAATTATTTGATTGTCATATTTTGCAGCCATTCAATTATAGATTATGAAATATCATCCAATTGGTAAAATGAGTAGCATATGTTATTAAGTTTGAAAAGGCAGAATAGGCCCTGGCTGGGCAGCTCAGTTGTTTAGAGAATCGTCCTGGTACACCAGGGTTGCGGGGTTTGATCCCTGGTCAGGGCACATACAAGAATCAATCAATGAATGCGTAAATCAGAACAACAAATTGATGTTTCTCTCTCTCTCTCTCTCCCTTCCTCTCTCTAAAATCAAAGTAGACATTTATACCTTCATAATAATTACATTAGAAATGTGGTCCAGGGAAGATGACTGGAAGGGTATAAACAAAACGGATATTACTTGGGTTAATGGTGTAGAATTAAAGGCGGTGTTTTCCTCCTGTTTTCAAATTCTCCATAATTAATTGTTTTGTGCAACAAATACTTACTGAGTGCCTGCTATATGTGTTAGGTACTGTTCTTGGTACTAGAAATGTAAGAATGGTGGTAAAAAACTATTATATTGCTTATACACTTAAAAAAAAGTGGGTATCCCTTTCAAATCAGGAGTTATAAAAATGTTAAGATTCCTATCAATTGAAACTTCTAAAAAAGGGAAAAAAGAAAATAACTCATTTAAAAAACAACAACCTACTATTTACAAATGAAAAAGAAAGCTTTTGAAGCTAAACACTTTGAAATTCTATTTCTAAAAAGCAAGCCAAGGTAACAAAAGGTCCTTGCATGTTCCACATTCTTCTCCCTGAGGTTCATTTAAGAGCTGATACATTTGTGAAAACCTATCAGCAACAGGTTAATGTGTCAGAGTGAAGGCCTAGTGCCTTTGCACATCCCAAAAGATTGGTACTTTTTTTGTGTGTGTGCCACATTCTTAAGGCTGACTGGAATTTTATTTTATCCAGCAGTGCTTAGGACAATTGGAATGTGTTGAAGTGCTTTTATTATTTTTATGACTAGCAAAAATGATGGAGAATTTAAAGTATTTCAGTATCCCAAAGGAATTGTTTAGACGGCCTCAAACTTAAAACAGAGCACAAAAAGCATTAGTCAGAACACAGAGCCCAATGTCGGATTTGGAAAACAAGATCACCAAAGCAGAAGGGTACCTTTTATCAAATAAAATCTGGGGCTTTTTGGAAAGGAAACAAATACAGAAGACAGAACAAGGAAAAGAAATCACATTTGTCTGCAGTCGGAGAGGATCTTGTGACCAAGGAGAGCACACGGGATCTTGCCGGTGTACCCATTCTTCCTGCTTCTGCACCCAGCGGGAATCTCAGCCCAGCCTGGGGGTGTGTCACTCTCACATACAAGTGCAACTCAAGTCCTTTAAAAGGTGCTGTGGTCCAACCTCAGGTGCTCCAGGGGCTTGGTAGACAGTGAACCAATTAATTACACAGTTACTGTCAAGGCAGCCCCCAAAGTCTGAAATGCCCATGGACATGGCCAGAAACGCACTCAAGGGACAGCCCACTGTTGCTCACTTGGGTTAATTCATGCACGTGGCCAGGTGTGCGCAGGGCTCCTCTGTCTGAAACAGAGATAAGATGGAACTTCGGGGCTTGTCTTTAGGTATGAGATTCGAGACTGGTACTGTCCGTATTACAATGACCTAATATGCTAGGTTCTAACTCCTTTCATATTTTAAAAAGGTCGCTCAAGGGTAGACAGGGCCATTAGCTATTTTTGGTGGGCTTTCCCCTAGCCTGTCACAGCATGCCTAGTTTCCTGGACAGCCGCACTTGTGGCCCTTGCTCTGTTGAGAGCCTGGTTCAATCGGTGGGGACAATGGCCAGAAGGAATGTTGTGGGCCAGGCTTCCCAGAGAGGTGAGCCAGCAGCCTGTGCTCCTTCAGTTGGCAGACATTATTTGTTCTACTCACTCTATCTTAAAAATTCCCTTAAGTCTCTCAGTGGATTTCAAATAATGGTTTTGGTTAGCCTTTTATAGCTGAAAATGTCTCAGATCTAATAAAAATATTTTTAAAAAAGCATTGTGCTAAATGTAGCTTTTTAACCAAGAGGTTCCTGGAAGATTTAGGTGTAGGAGAAAGGCATCTAATGAAAAGTTTGTGACTTTCAAATCAGACACACGGCCTTAGGAGAAAACTGGTATTCCCTACGGCTTTCCTTTTTCCATTTATATCATGCCAATCTTTTCCTCCTGATCTGATTTCTCCTGAGTTCCTTTCCTGCTTTCCTTTTTAACCAAATATGGGGAGTA